GAAGGAATTAAGATTATTTCTTCTGGGACGGAATTTGTTCTTTTGTCATTCATTTTCTTATGGCGGGTCTAGACGAACCGAGCACAAGCGGGGTCGTTCTTAGTTTTGTTTGCGGCGTCAAGTGTGGGCGTACAACGAACTTACAACGATCACTATCGTCGGACGTAGTTTTCCGCAGCGAATGAGTGCAGTGAATACTGCGAGAGGAAGTAGATCCCTTTTCGTCAAATAACCAACAACAGGTGGAACGCGGCCGAACATAAACGAAATGGTCGCCGCGATCGTTCTAGGTTTGTAAGTAGGTCCACACTAGACGACTTGTGTTCGGCTTGTACATAACATAACATAACATCACGCCTTTTATCCCCGAAGGGGTAGGCAGAGGTGCACATTATACCACTGTACAATGTAACACCCACTTTTCACTATTTATGTTACGAATCCCATGTAATAGGAGGTGAGCCTATTGCCATATACCGGGCACAATTCCAGACTCCGTGCTACTACTGAGAATATTAAAAAACCCAGTAATACTTTGCCCGACCCGGGAATCGAACCCGAGACCCCTTGCCCGGCAGTCGTACTTACGACCACTCGGCCAACGAGGCAGTCTTGTACATAAATAAAAAAGAAAAAAAATATTGAAAAAAAATGTGGCTCATGTTCAGCTCGTGCTCGGCTCTCCTAGCCTACACTACACTGCGTCTACACGCAGCTTTAGTTTCTTCTGTCGATCCTGGCATAAGAAGTTGCAGATGGGTTTGTTTCAATAAAAAACGTTTTTTTTGTATTAACACTTTATTTTTTACATTAAACGAATATCAGTGTGCCATACAATGCGATACATAACTGGCGTTGCTATGGTTACGGATAATTGCGAAACTTTAACTCTATACTGTAATAAAATATGCCACATCAAAGACAATAAAATAAATAAATTAAACTATGGGAATTGCAATACCAGAGATTCTTGATTTTCCAAAAAAAATTCATTCAATTTCTTTTCGATAAACATACCAAATGGAGTGCAGGTCTCTAACCATGTATCATATTCTTTCTTTCACAAAAATAGCGGCTTATTTAAACTATAAGTTAACAAATACAATAACGGACAAATGGTTTTACTAATAACAAAACTAACGGATTTGGTGTCAAAAGTTACTTAAATCCGTTCAAGTGGGTTACTATAAAATAAAAGGTTGATTTAATATAAATATATTCATGCACGCAACACTTTTTTTTATACCACAGACCATGAATCATTAATACACACGGCTACACATCGAGCTTTACATAACCAGTATAAACTGAACGGTAAATGTGCGGAAAGATGATGCGACGGGACATTAGGATAAACTGGTTTTGTATAGACTGATGTGTGGCCGTGTACAAACGACAGTTGCTAGTCGACCATCATTAGGGGACATTCGCATGTATTCGCCATGAGTGGCTACAAGAAAAGTGCCTGGTGTATATGTTGTACGCAGAGATGTGATTTATTTGAAATACTTCTATTTTAAATGCCAATAGAAAATGCAAAATACCTATTTTGTATTTAAATACCTTTCAGTGAAAAGTATTTTGTATTTTATTTGAAATGCCTTTCGAGATGCATTTTGTATTTTTAATATTCATTTCAAAATGCAAAATACTTTGTGATTAAGTTTAGCTAACATTACCAGTCAAACAAAACAAAACACTTGTATTGCCGAATTCGACCGATAGAGGCGCCTGCTAACCATGCACGACATCTTTTTCTTCTGACTGAGTCAGAGTGCGCGCCTTATGTCAAGTAATGTCTGACAAGTGTCAATTTGAAGGTCTAACAAGACCTCACAGAAGAAAAATGAATGATGATGTATTCGAACAACTGGTATTGTTAAAAAGCGTAATCAATAAAAAATGATATTTATTTTTATCACTTTTTAACAATACCAGTCCAGTTCCAGTTGTTATTAATTTTAATAAGAAAAGTGTAATAATTTATGTAATGTGTTATTAGACGTTTGTTATTCGGCTCGGCATTGTGTGTCTCTATTGCTCATGTATGATAAATAAATATGTAGGTACCTATAATAAATAAAAATATGTATCTGTAATTTCGTCAGGGGGTATTTTATTTTGAAAAAGTATTTTGAAAATACCTATTTTGCATTTAGCATTTGAAATACAAAACGCAAAACTATTTGGTATTTTGCATTTGAAATAGTAAATCTGAAAAGTATTTTGCATTTTGTATTTAAATGCTTTTTTAAAACCATTTTGTACATCTCTGGTTGTACGCCACAGGATTTTGGTTAAAAAGTGTACTACCTAAATTTTGCCGATAATACTCTGTGAATTAGAATTAAATTAAAAAAGTAAATAAATAACATGTTTATACGTCTCACAAGATGTGGCACATTCTATAGATAATTTACCAAAAATGTAAGCCTAATATTAAGGCGAATTTTAGACATTATTCAGTGAACTTCTTACTATCAATTAAAACCTGATTTTTTGACTACCATACGATTTTACCTAGACTCGCAAACGCAAGTGCGTAAGTTACCTTAGCTAAAAAATTCGGAAGCCGTTTATAAGATACTGGTCACACTATGATTTTTTGGGACAAAAGGCAGTGACTTGCGACATTATGAAGACTTATACGCACGACAATATTGTCTTCAATTTGTCATTTTCCTTAAGTACGTAAAATTTTGATTTATTGCTGTCAATCCTAGTGTGAGCGCAGTATTATGACTTTGACATAATTATGTTAGGCGCTTTTGTTCTTGGATGTTTCGTAAAGTTTGACCATAATTGAAGTTTTCATTTCTAGATGGCGCCACTGTAGTTTTAAGTCTGCGTGGTGTTGTTGATAAAAAATGTTTTAAATAAATTACTTTACTGGTGATGAGATTCAACCTACTAGTTAATCAAAAACCATAACACATTTGCACGTGATTTTTTAGACTTATACATATCGTACGCCACGGCACAACACGAAACCTTTCATTATGATCAAATTCACTACGAACTACGTGTGTCCTAGAACAGGACACACAAGACTACCTCCTTATTAGAAGTCGGCTCAATACCATTACGACTCACTTCACACCCAACATAACCACATCAATGTCCAAAAACCAAAACAAAAGGGTAAAAAATAAAATAAAAAATGAAATTAAAAATATAAAATTTATTAACGAAACAAGTCATTATTTACAACAACAAAATAAAATGTTATAAATATTATTTATTAAATCTAAATGAGAATAGGCCCCATTACACAATGATGTTCATGGGAAACTAAATTGACGAGTGGTAGTGCCAATCGAAAATATACCTTAAGTACTGAGTGGTAGGAGTCTTGTTTCGAGCGTTATATTGAGATAGTAGTAGATAGAAGTGCGATTCTAACCTCTATTGCTTTAGTAATAAGATGAATGAGAACTGCAGAACATTCTCATCTATTTACCTTAAGAATAGAAATTAAAAATGGTTTACTGGACTAAAAAAGAAATGATTAAGATATCATCTGATAATCTTATAAGCAAAAAGGTACCGCTATTACAATGTGAACTTTAACTCGTCGAGTACCGGTTTTATAGACACAATTAAAGAATAATAGGTCGCGGTCACCGGTGACCGCTTGGTGTTTGACAGTTTAAGATAGTGAAGATTGCAAGCCCACAAAAACCTCAAAAGTATATTTTAACCTGGCAACACCACTCAATCGAACAAAAACTATAAAGGGACATACTTCTAACATTATTTAAACCAATAATATATACAATAAACCACTCCAACCTCACAATACAAGAAAAATAAATATAAACAAAGAGTATATACTCAAATAAGGTGTACTGCGTAAATTGGAACGTTACGGTTTAAACGTACAGATTAGAAAAAAAAGTATTTTCAATAATGATTTTACTCCCGACTTATATCCTAATTATATCGACTAAATCTTGAATACTAAATAATGGCGCCGTGTCACATTATTTAACAACAAAAAGAAAAAGGATCATACAATCAAAGTCTAGGAATGTAAATGCAAATTAATAACGTTAGAATATTAATAACATATACGAAAAATCAACCAATAATAGAATAGTATCTAACAAACACAACAGCATGATTCAATTTCATAGAGCCGCAACACGAAACACGTCTACACTCGAAGAAAGTCTAACGACAACTGACGTTATACTAAGAAGAGTTGAGGGTAGTTTGGCCATTAATATCAATCCAAAATCGAAATTTCTGGGATCTAAACTAGCATAACCGCCACGTAAACTACTCTCCTTTAACCGCTATCAGTCAACATTTATATCAATTTATTTCTACGAAAAAAACTAAGTTTTCTATTAAATAATGTGACACGAACACTAGTTTGCCTAACTTGTTACATTGAAATAGGCATAATGAAATATTCTACGGAGTTTATGATAAAAAAGGAAACATTATATCGCCCGTCGCCTCTAACCGTTATGCAAGCATTCATTGAGCATCGTTTGCTGCGATCATCCATTTATACTCTGTGGATATCCATAGACGAAACCATGACAACGTCACAGTGACAGCTGTCATGATTGGATCGTTATACATATTACGTCTTTTTACCCGACTGAAGGAAGGGTATTGTTCAAATATTCATGTCGCGTTTTGATTTTGACATGCCAATTGTACTTCTCGCATCATTTTTAAAGAAATTCAAACACAAAATTGTAATTAACTAACATTATATTATTAGAACTGACAGTTGGACATACATTGATATTTCCCCTAAAAACGAATTCGATTCTTTAATACATGACATAGGTAACTAAACGGGTTATAAACAACGCATGTTTATATCAACTGTCAATAAAAAGTGGAAGATTCTGATTATAAATGTTAAATGTGTTGCCAATTGAAAAAAATATAGTAGTATTTTTGTGTATGGTAATAAATGAAATAAGGCTTGCCACTCACGCTACGCATACGGGTGCGGCGGGCATAGACGTGCGACTGACTCAACGCAGGTCGGGGTTGTCGTTGATCTGTTTCTTAATGCGCACGAGCATCGTTGTATACCACTGATCCAGTCGAGATATGCTGTCGTAATTCTTCACTGCCTCGGTAAACGCGTCCACATTCTGCTCCTCCAAGTGCTCGATCAATTCCTGCAAGATAGGAGAAGTTTTATTTTACTCTATCAGCTAGGTACTGTGACTATTAACACAGTGATTAAATGCAAGTTAATCCATATCATAAGCAACATTGCACAACTGAGAAGTAGGAGTATTCAAATTTCAAAACACGCTATTGGAAACGAATACAATTTGGAGAATAATAGACATCCTTTTCTAACAATACCCATTTACAGGCTACTCCATTAGCACACCTCCGTGTGATGACTCCTACTTCCGGGCGTAGAGATTATACCACCTCTTACATGTACAAAGGAATTATGACAACAAACCTTAATCAGTTTACACTCCCTAGTGTCAGCGAAGGCAGGGTAGAGTCCGCAGTACTTCTCGACGGCATGCTGGGCGTTGAGTATGTCGACGCAGAGGTGGCAGAGTGCTGCGCGGAACATGTACTCCTTCGCGCTGTACTTCAGGAGGCTGTTGTCTAGGGAGGACTTGGCGATCTGTAATGAGAGAAGTTTAATAAGTTTTGAAATTTCGGAAGTAATGGTCTTAATGGTAAATCAGAAACTGTTTGAATTTAAATATTACGTTTGTGGTTTGTTCTTTTTTTAAAAAAAAAACGTTGCCCCGCACTAGGATTTTCTGCTGTGTCGTGGGTGCGTTTACAAACACACAATTTCACATACACAAAGACACCCAGACCCGAAACAACAATTTGTGGATCACACAAAGTGTTGTTCCGTGCGGGTATCGAACCCGCGACACGTTGCATGGCAGCCGATTGCCCAGCCACCGCACCAATCGTGCAGTGTTCTGTTCATATAAAAATGTTTAAAAATCGTATAAAAATATTAAAAAAAATTTTTTTTTAGTCTCCAAACTTTCCCCTTTAGGTGTGACCTATGTTCAGCAGTGACCGTGTTGTGACGATGATGATGATCATGATGAAACTTCCCCAAGATGCCCATGTCTGTCATCCGTGGACAGCTTCCACATAACGTTAAAGATATCAACAAACGAAATTCTTTCAATGAATATTGAAACTTGCAAATGAATTGTTTTTTTTTTATACACACAGTGACACAGGTTGTAGTTAAATAATTACAGAATTTTATTTGCAGAAAATGTGATATATAAAAAATTATCCCCTAAATTTGTTCATACAAAAGTAGTCTCTAAACATTGGAAATAAGGTCTATAATGTAGTTAGTGGAGAGTGGTCACCGGTGATCGCTTGGGATATACGGGAATTATTATGTTTTCGGCGTACTCACGTAACTATTTGCTCATCAAATAGTTAACAACTCGAGCCATGCTAGAGGCTCATATTCATGAGCAGCATTCTGCGACACGCGACGCAGCTATTGTCGCGCTGCTACTAATGGATATGAGCCTCTAGCATGGCTTTAAACTATTCGTGTTCCTCATCAAACAGTTACGTGAGTAAGCCGAAAACGTAACAATTAATTGAGTATGTCGCAAGAAAGTTTTATAAAATCATCTCAAAATCCTTACTAATATTATAATTCGGAAAGTGAGTTTGTTTGTTTGTTCCACTTTCGCGCCGTTACTACTAAACCGATTGCTTTGAATTTTTGCAGACGTGAAGTTAGAAGTCTAGATTAAATAATAGGGTACTTTTTATCCCGGAAAATTTGATATTCTCGAGGGAAAACGAAATTATTGGTATAGATGGCGCTGTGTGTATATGTCATATAGGATACTTTTTATCCTTTTGTGACGCGAGCGAAGCCGCGGGTAAAAGCTAGTGTTAAATAAATCATCATTATTAAGCTACTGACCTGTTCATAGATCTGAATGGCCTTGTCATAATGCTCCAGCTGGGCGGCGTACTGCGCCAATTTGAGCATGCACTTGTTGGCGGATGAGGTGGACTCCTCGCCGCGGAAGTAGTCGGCTGCCTGCTCGTAATGCTGCATCGCGCGCGACAGGTCCACGCACTCCGTCTCGTACAGCTCTGCTATGTTCTGGAAATATAGCGTGTTGGTGAGTTCAAGTGTTATTTTAATCTTATTATTGGGTTTTGGGGTAACTTTCCTGACCGGTGAATGGTTTCGGATTGAATTACCGTGAATTAGAATTATTGAATTCTTTCAAACGAACTCTACTCTACGACTACGATAACAAGCACGCGCCTATTATTTGGGACTTATGTCTAGGAAAAATGAGAGTTCTTTTGCATCTTGTTAGAAGACCTTAAGTCGATTTGATATCCATTATATTAGCACTAATTATTTCGTGGTCGACTGACTGACTGACTGCCTTGTTAGCCGAGTGGTCGCAAGTGCGACTGCCGGGCAAGGGGTCTCAGGTTTTTTAAAACTGGGTTTTAAAAAAATCTCCGTTGTAGCAAGCAGTCTGGAATTGTGCCGGGTATATGGCAATAGGTTCACCTCCTACTATATGGGAATCATAACATAAATAGCAAAAAGTGGGTGTTACATTGTACAGTGGCATTAAGTGCCGTAATGTGCACCTCTGCCTACCCCTTCGAGGATAAAAGGCGTGATGATGACGTTATGCTAATTATTTCTTCCTTGTACAAAATTTCCTTAATCACTACTCGACGAACAACAGAAACCAGCCTGTCTAGACATCCAGTCATCAGTCTTTAATTATCTAGTACTCACTACGAGACTAATGTGGTAAACTACATAAAGATAGCAAGGCCAAGACGAGTGACATCACGCGAGTATTGGAACAGTGCACATCGTACGCGGCCGTACATCAGCGGAAACTAGCTTCAATGTTCCAAGGCAACAACTGACTAATACAATGAATTAGGCAAATATTGAACTTGAAGATAATTACGATGATCGCATATTTTTGCATAAGTGTGGTTGCATTACAGATACATGCTTTGATTTGAGTCGTAAGCAAACCGTAGTCACATTGTTACAGAAACCTATTACACAACGGATATTAGTGATCATGACCAAATAGACGGCCTCGTAGGTCAAGTGGTCGCAAGTGCGACTGCCGGGCAAGGGGTCTCCGGTTCGATTCCCGGGTCGGGCAAAGTATTACTCGGTTTTAAAAAATTGTCCGTAATAGCATGGAGTTTGGAATTGTGCCCGGTATATGGCAATAAGGTCACCCCCTATTACATGGGACGTATAACATAAATAGTGAAAAGAAGGTTTTAAATTGTATACTGGTATTAAGTGCCACAATGTGCACCTGTGCCTACCCCTTCGGGGATAAAAAGTCTTATGTTATGAACAAAATAGAGGCATGTAGATGCTGTTCGTAGAAGTATTCAATACTTCCACGTCTTCACACCATCCACAACTTTCGTTTCCGAATCAATGAAATAGTTTTAAGTGATAAGTGTTACCTATCTTATAGCAACGACGACGTAGAACTTGGTTGAAACAATAAGAAAATGTTTACCTGATGCTGTTTAGCAGCTACAGTGAATCTTCCCATGTCGGTGTAGATCTCAATCGCTTTCAGGAGACAGGAGACAGCCTCTGCAACGAAAGTTTACTCATTAAGTATAGTTTAATATAATACTCCGAAGTCATAGAATGAAACTTAGTATATCGAATGATTTAATCTAAAGTATAACGATAAATCTACATGTGCGTTTTAGAACTATAGGTGTCCTAGCTCAGATTACCAGCATCAGTTATCATCTTGTCCTAAACCTATAAAGATTGCATAAATTCATCGTTATAATTTGGCTACAGTTCTTTAGTACTGTAATAAAAATATGTGTAAGACCCAAAATCGCTCCCTGTGGAAGCACCATTTTTTAAACCATTTACTGTCATGAAAACATCTTAATCTTTTGCGATTTATTAGTTTATTATCACATTATGAAGTTGCAATTTAATACTTATCAACTAAGATATAAGGATTTTAGATCTATAATCTTCCAAATCATGGTGATAGTGTCGAAAGCCATAATAAAATCTAAAAATCTAAGAAAAACTATTACTTTTTGAGGTTGTACTATAACTGTACCTATAATGAACTTCTAAAATACCTATAATTAGCTAAAAATATCTAATTAGTAGTTGTATGTTGTATCGAGTAAACAGATTAGTAGATAACCACCTTGTTATCCCTAACCTTGATTGTTGATCATCTGTTATCAGTAACAATCGCAATGATAAGACTCAAGTGATGTAATGTTGGGATAGATAGCGGTGTATTGGCCAAAAATATCGTGGATTTCCACTATAGTATTTACGCTATATGTTATAAAGATCAACATAGAAACAAATCATGTATTTTCAGACTTGTGTTTAAGAGAACGAATGTGCAAAACTTATAATCCGGAGCGAGCTAGCGAATTCCCATAAATGGAATTATGACTCGATAGAAATGCAAATGAAAACCCAGTATGAATGAACCCTATAAATATGAAACATTTAATAATGAATCCTTAATTGTAGTTATAAGGAAACTGGGTTATTAGAAAATAAATCATGTTAATGGATAACAGGAAAATGTAAAGCAATTTGCGAGAAAAGAATTGGAACACTACCCAGGGGGGAATACACCCCCTACTAGGTTACTGGCAGTACAATCTGTAAGGAAAAATACTGAGAAATATATTCTTGATTTTATTGGAAGAAGGAATGTTCTGTACCTACGTACGAAATGGGATTTTTATTTGGATTTCTGGGCCGGACAGTGGCAGTCTAGATATAAACCTAGGCTCCACTATTTGGTATCATACATCTAATCATAATGGTAACTTAACACATATCGACAAAACAGCTGTTTTGAAAAAACTGTTTTGTAAAATTATTTTACAGATTGTGGTTTCGGGGACATAATAAGTTATTCGAAATTATGAAATAACCAAGGCTAAGGACTATTTTTTTTAAGGGGTAAAATCATCGAATGACTGCTCCCGCCTGGGTGAGGCGGAAAGGAGTGTCAGTCTCTTACTGACTAAAAACCACCCCGTCCCTTCTCCTGTGGTTCGAGCCCCGGTAACCCGTTAGGTTCTCCGCGACAAGGCTAAGGACTATTGGCTGAACAATATTCGCACACATTTTAATTGTGTTATGCCAATAAAGTAGTATGCCAGTTGGCAAATGTCCTGCGAAGCCTAGTTTTATTATTGCAATAGGCATTTAAGTTTTGGCACTGTTAGTCTGGATCATCGAACATCTAACTTATATCAATACTTGTTTTTAACAACAGAAAAATTTACTGCAAGATTACTCCTACTGGTATTTTCATCCATTGCAAGCATCAGGCAGAGTTAATTAATTTAGATTCAAAAGTTTTCCATAGTAGTAATAACTTGGGCGTATAGAAATAGGCGGCACCCTATTACATAATCCAGATAACATAATTAATGAAATCTGGGCGTGTTTCAAAATATTAACTACATCATATCCTTTACGCAAGAAAAATCTTGATACTTCACGTAAAAGTGTACAATTTATTTCATTTTCTAAAGGAAATTATTGTCAGAGCAACTACAGTCGACATTATTGCGTGACAAGAACTATCTGAAGTTGTACTAAGTTTTCTAACTTCGCAATAGCGGTGGAGTTTACCTAACTTAATAATAACAATGTTCCAAACAACGCCATATTGCTAGCACTGCTTTTGCTTTGATAAACGATATATAAATATTTTGATGAGATAGCATAGTTTTTATTATAACTATCGTGACGATTACTAAAATACTAAAAATCGTGGGTTACTCACGTGAATACACTGAGAAAAGCTCTACTAGTTCATGCGTTCCGCACGCTGCTCATGAGGAAGAGCCCCTCTGTGGTTCAAAACTAGTAGATCTTTTCTCAGTATATTCACGTGAGTAACCTACGATTTTTAGTTAATTGAGATATCACAGGATATTTTCGATACGATTGCAATATATGGACATTACAAGGACGTTGAAATAAAGGCGGACATAATGTCAGTTAGAAATGATTGAAGCACCAAACCGTCCGTGGGTTATTTATGTGTGCGCGTGTAACCACATTACCAGACTCAAGAAAATGTTGTTTTTTGCCTTACACTAGGATTGGGGCGTTTAAAAAAACAAACAAGTTCACATATACTTGTCACCCAGACCTGAAAACAACAATTTGTAGATCACACAAAGAGTCGTTACGTGCGAGAATCGAACGCACCAACGTGTCCAACTACGTGCAGTCAAATGACAGATGTCTTTCGTGTCAATGTGTGTTAGTTCTGCGTGTAAGTCTATAGTAGTCAGGTGTCACAGTCGGTATTTCAAGAGACATTATTATAACTAAACACTAATTTATGAACGTATTTACTACAGCTATGTAACTATGTATGTTTTTTTTTATGGAATAGGAGGCAAACGAGCAGATGGATCACTTGATGGTAAGCGATCAGCGCCGCCCATGGACACCCGCAACACCAGAGGAGTCACAGGTGCGTTGCCGCCCTTTTAAAAAGGAGTACGCTCTTTTCTTGAAGGTTTGAAGGTCGTATCGGTTCGGAAGGTAGTAAAAATATCATTCAGAAACTGTTTTGGAGGGTAAGTTCACAATTATTTTGCTTTCTGAATAATACGCGAACAAATAAATAAAGTGTATAAAGGTAAAAAGAACGAACGAAATTTCAAGCAATTATATGATTGACACTTATGAACACTTTGACACTTATGAACATATTTATGAGTAGAGGAAGATAAGCAATCTAGGGTATGATGGTCTAGCCTCAAAAAACCTGTAGGTATTAATAAACATACTTTCTCTTTGAGTTCTTTGACGACGTCCTATTTTCCTGGTGTCAATGAGATAAATATGAGTCCGTTTTCTACACATACACGAAGATAAAAAGCGACAAACAGGATACTATATCATGAAGTCCTAGTAACCACAATAAATTAGAAATGTCGATAACAGTATTGATTATATCGACAAGTCTGTGAAGTCTAGACTAGACATCATCCTAGGACCAAAAGAATAGTAAAAAAGAATGTAAGAATCCTAGGTTCATTCCTCGAGCTATGGGACCGAAAAAAAAGAGTTCAAAATGGACAAATAAACGACAGTTTGGCATCCGTCCAAATTCTACAATGTGAACATACATAGATAGGCTGTACATACATAGGTTGTATCCGGATAGTATGTAAGCATTACATAGGTAAAATGGACGTAAGCCGCTTGATATAAGCTACGAGAATAAGGTTTTATTTTGCAATACTGATATTTCTATCGAATTGAACTGTTCTAAACAAACGTGTTTACTTATAAAAAGTTGGCACATAAATAATTTATAGGTTTGAATACATTTCTTATTTTTCGTAATGCTTGGACATGGATGATGTTCTAAAATTATAAATCAAGAAAAGTGTAATTATCGACATTTTAATCAAATTTAAAATGTGGGCTAACGATTTTCTTGTTTCTAAAAAAATAGGTATGATGTTGTTGTAAATTAATTTAAATGCGTAGTTGTAACCTTTGTGCGTGTCAGACATTTATGCGACACCCTTGAGATCCAATTCGTTTAAAATTATTTAATTTTGCAAATACGACTTTACGATTAGCTGAAATAAACATCGATACCGCATTTATTCAACCTTTTATTATTTTAATTGTCTAGTTATAACAAAGTACAATTCTTAACTAACTGATGCCGGAATACTGAAACGTTACTCAATTTATATAGCGCTCAAATAGGTATCGTGCCATCTCTGTCATTTTACAAGAATTTGTAGAGATAGAACTATACTTAAGCACGACTTAAAATTGAGTAGCGTTTGGGTATTCCGACATAAGCCAATTTTTTATAGTAAGTATAGAAGGCAAACGAGCAGACGGATCACCTGGTAAGCGATCAGCGCCGCCCATGGACACCCGCAACACCATGAGTAACTATGATGATTTCGTGTTCCAATTTTGTAAAATTTGATCATGAATAAAACGCTCAAAAAGTATTATGATGTTACGAAACCTGAATCTGTGAATTTCGCGTTGCTTTTGGTGTTGCGGGTAACCTGTACAGACGCTAGGGTGATCGTTTACTAACTGTAAATACGACCATAAACAGCTAAAAGATAAAGTTAGGTACCACTAATTACTACGACACATTAAATTAATATAATTGGGTATTTCTACCAACCCAATCAGAACAACGCGATTACATCTACCTACTCTAACACAAACAACGATTTCCACTCAACATTACGAACTATGTTGTTCATAGAATATTCTATGCTAGGCGCATAGATAATGTCTATTGTCTATAATTCCAGTCTAGACTGAAGACTCCGTTTGTATTGATTTTGTAAACTAATATCTCTTATAATCCGGCGAGAGATGTCACGCGGTGTTCCACAGGGTTCGGTTCTGGGGCCGCTCCTGTGGAACATCGGCTATGACTGGGTGCTGCGCACCGACCTCCCGAACGGCGTTAGCACAATATGCTACGCCGACGACACGCTGGTGCTAGCGCACGGGAGGTCGCACCAGGCGGCGGCCGACTTAATGGCGACAGCGGTTGCGACAGTCGTTGA